AAGGGTTTGTTTGGCTGCAATAAACAATGGATAAGTGATACAGGAAAGCCATCCTCTCTCACTTCCTCTACCTGAGGAGGGTTTAAACATTAAAAGTTTGTGTGGTGGGTGCTGGCCCCACCCCTAGGGCAGGCTGAGACAGCAATTGAGACTGGGCGTGGTGGCACGCACCTGTAATCCCAGCTCTTGGGAGGCTGTAAACAGGCAGATCACGATGAGTCCGATCTAGTAGTAGGTCCCTGAACACCCAGTAGACCCTTCCCTAAAATAAAAGTTTGTATGGTGGGAAGGAGAGAGTCCTATCAGAGCACCACTCCATACTTTATTCCTACGTCCCATACCCAAGAACCTTTTTAAAACTGCTACCCCTTTACCAGCACTCACGTTTGTACAAACACGCATTTATCTAATTGAATCAAGGCATTCTACATTCCCTTAGAAGTGTGTATTTTCTATTACTTATTCTACTGTCAACTTGATGACTGCCTAGATAGAATATGGTATTTCCATATACTATTGGAAATCTTTTGGGAGAGAGGTGGGTAGAGCTCTGCCTACTGTCCACATATAGTACATTCTTTGACCCGGGGACATATTTGAGAGGAACAAATTTGTTATGTAATGCATTGTCTAAGCCTTAGTCTTTGCCTGTAGCTTTGGCTTTTGCTCAAGATGAAATGTATCAAACAGGTGAATCCTGTCTGGGGGGCAAAAACTAACCCTACATACTCTATTCAGTGGCTCTTATGCATGGAGCTCTGTTCTAGATGCTCCCAAATGCCTTTAATGGGTTACAGTGTTTGGTTGGCATCCAACAGTCTCTTCTGGCATCCATGTATCATTATTCCACCCATTACTGCATGTCTTTGGCACCACTGTGCCTACTCAAAGTATCCATCTAGGTAGCATTTAAGTCATCTTTGGAATAATTTCTTTTTTTCTTTACCAGAATGTCATATATGTTCTATTCTGGCCTTGAACTATTATGTAGCTCAAGCTGGCCTCGAACTCCTTCGGCTCCCGAGTGTTGAGACACGCACTAGCATGTGTGACAACCTTTAAAACAATTGGATTCTTACTGTGGGCATCTGTATGACCTTCCCACCATCCTCCCTGGGTAGTCCCACAGGGTCTGCCCCAACCGCGTCTCTAACACTTGTGTGCCCATAATGTTATTTCATTGTTATTCTCCTCTTCCTGATCATTGGCTATTTCCTGGGACTCACTATGCAAATACTGCCCGAAGTCAAGGGCTAAGTGTCCTTCCACTGGCATTTACACAGCTCTCAAGTCAACAAAGAAACGTGTCTTGGTGGAGACTCTCGATACTTAGACCATTCTGCCACAGATGTGAGTCACTACTTGGTTGGTCCTACTGCAGAGATGCTGTGTACTCAGGTATATGTTGGAAGTCCTCACAGACACCAATCAGGACATGGTTTCTCTTGTTTGCTTTACCATTTACCAGTGACATGATAGGCTATTTTGAATTGTGCCACAATAGACATGGGCAGGTGAGCATCCCTTTAAAATTTTGGGGTAGGGCTGGAGAGATGACTCAGTGGTCTAAAGCACCTACTTGGAACTAGCTTAGCAAAGCATCAGGGACCGCGGTTCAATCCCCCAGCACCACATGCCAGCCAGCCCCGCCCCCTGGTGGGCTGAGCTGGCCACACACACACACACACACACTCTCTCTCTCTCTCTCAAATAAATAAAAAAATAAATAAAATTAAAAAAATAAAATTTTGGGGTACATATGAAGGCGTGGTAATGGCAGATCATGAGCTATTTCTACTTTTAGCTTTTGAGGAACCTCCATATTTATCGTTATAGTGAATCTACTGATTTACATTCCCCAAAACAGTGTAGAAAGGTTGCATTTTCACGGGTACTGTTTTTTTTTTTTTTTTTTTTTTTTTTGGTGAAACCAGGGATTGAACTTTGGGAACTGTTCTTATGAGAGTTTTACAGTAATCCTAGCAAACAAGTAAGCTAGTCCTCATTATGAGGAACTTTGTGTGTGTGTGTGTGTGTGTTTAAAAGTATTTTATTATTTTTTATTTTTTTCAAATCAAATTGGTAGGACAGTTTCAATAATTAACACATTGTATACATTCTTCCTAGTGGTTAATTGCTGTACAAGATGCAGACATAATATCCTATTTACAAACACCATTAGAACAAATCCCTCCATTCATTAAGAGAATGTAACTATATATCTCTCCTAACCACTTTGAATACACAGATACAAAATGGACATTCATCTGTATCCCCTTTTTTTGTTAAATTCCGTTATTTTAATATTATAGGTATGTAAACTCAGCAAAATATTCTAAAAGAGTCCAGTAGCCCATAATAGTATTTTCTGCTTAACTGGCAATGTCAGAAATTGTTGACCTGAGTCCCCTACAGCTCAACATAACAGCATGGCTTTACTTCTTATATTTCGTTTTTGCATAGGTCCTGCTTTACCTTGGTCTTAACCATCCAGCAGAAAAGTATAATTATGAGGAACTTTTAAAAGCAAAACTTCTAGTAGTTGCCACAAGGTGGCAGTACTATGCTGCAAAGTTTAATTTGCATGTGCCTTCCTGTCAGAAACTTCTGAAAAGGAAAGCCTAGATTTCATTAACATATTTAGGTCACTAATCATTATATGTCTTCCATAGCTTGCCAAGTAGCCTTTCAAGTTGTTGTGTCTGCTTTTCCATTAGCAGAGTCCTGGAGTGAGAGTAATGTATTATTTACTGTTTATAGACTACCTCTGGCGGCTCAAAGTCATTTTTATATATTTCACTGAATGGGGCAGGTTCTGAGTCTTAGCCGGTTAATCAATAATTGGTTAGTCATATTTTCTTCATGGGTTTCAAGTCTTTCTAAGTTTCTCTTTTCAAGTTTCAATTTCCAAGAGGAAATCGTTGCAATGTTATCAGTATGATGTGTATTTTTATAGTCATTGTGTCTGAACACAATCTCACTCAACTGTGGCAGTGCGTTAGAAAGGTCAGAAATCCTCGGGGAAAGGCTTCACATGCATAGTTCATTCTTCCCCAAGCTGTGCTTGACTTCTCTGAGTGAATTTAAGGAGGCAGCATGGGTTTAATCCAGGCCTCTTGTACAATTTATACAGTGCCTGGCACAAGCCACATGTGTTTAAGGCATGGAAATAATATTGTTTATATCATAATAGTTAAGAGTTATCTCCAAGAACCTCTCTTTTTCTCCTGGACTACATAGGATTAACAGAAAGCATTAGTAGAGAATGTCATTTCTGTTTTCATTGTTTTTAAATGAAAGATGAGATTTTTCTGCATCTTTCCTGATTTTGACTGCCTGATATGTACTATAAAGAATTATTTCAATGTCTCAAGCCCTTCATTTTGCATGTATAATTAAAACTATCTGAAGGACACCCTTATCTGTTTCTTAAAGACATTTGGCTTTAAACTGGTAAGGATATGAATCTCATATCTATTCTATGTATCTAGGTAAAAATAAGAACTGTATTTTTTTTTTCTTATTTCTCCACCAATTCTGGGGCTATCTACTATAACATTTCCATGTGTTATAAAATGCTCCACACCAAGGAGTAGGAAGACAACCGACTTTATTATGCCAGCGGGCTGATGGGAGATTGCTCCCAGAGCATCATCCTGGAACCACCTTTGGGCCTAGTTTATATAGGTTTGCAAGAATAAAAAGGCTTAAAAGTGTGGTAAATTTTATTTGGCAACATCTGTTTTCTCTCATTTCTGGGAAGAAAGTCCTTGAAGTGAGTGAGTCCTAGTGGTGGTCATCACTCCTTGCTAGAAAGTGCAGAGGTACAGCTGGGTGCGGACACACTAACCTGGGTCGGATTATATCTGGTGTAGTCAGGCAAGGCCCAGCGAAGTGAGTCTGACAGACGAGCTACGTGGTGGCCATCCTAATCTTATTTTGTTCTAATGTGATGTCAACTAGACTGCTCGTTGATTTTGATTTTTAAAATTTCCATCACAATTTGTACTTATTGTCTGCTCTCTGCCTTGTTTTCTTCTTTAACCACACTAGTCTTCCTGCTGTTCCTTAACTATTTCAGACATGCTAAATTCAAAGCCTGTGAACTTGCTTGGAATACTCTTCTTCCGGATTTTGTAAGATCCCCTTTCCTTACTTCATCCAGTAAGGCTCAAATGTCATTATTACTGAGACTTTTCTGACGACACTGTATGATGACTTCCTCCACACTCCCCAGTGGGCCTTAGCTAATTCCCCCAAACGTCCTTAGTATTAACACCTGACATACTAAATATTTGCTGTTGGTTTACTGTTCAAATCCTTTTTGGAATACTGCCCCATGCATTATAGAGCCCGGCGCGGGAACCGCTGCGCTAGGTCGCCGCCTCCCATGCATTATAGACAACCAACACCTATTTATTTTTTTCTTCCCTTTTCATGTGTGTAAATTACCTCTTCAATAGAAATAACCATTAAAGAACGAATGTTGAATGAACTTAAATTTTATCATTATGAGAAAATTCCTAAGTTCTCACAAGATATAGAGCTCTCTTTATTTGCAACGTATTGGCCGTGGGCAAATCAAGTGATTTGAGTTCCTTTCTATCGTCTATAAACTGAATCAATTTCTGATTACTTCACAGAAGACTACATATGAGAGGGCCTTTGTAACCTTGGCAATTCAAAAGTTACCAAAGGCACACTCCGCTGCCTAGCAATAATACAGTAATGCGTTCAGTATTTATTGAGGAAAAGAACAGTCTCCGCGAAACTCCAGGGAGAAACGACGCTAGCGCGGGGCGTGTCTCCTTGGCGTCGTTGCCAAGGAAACCGCGAGGCGTCCCCGGAACGGGCGCACTCAATGCGCAGTGGCTGCGCTGGCTCCGCCCCCAGCGCGGGTATAGGAGGAGCGCCGGCCAATCGGAAGAGGCCCTAGGGGCGGGGCTCGGAGCCGGGGGAGGAGGCGCGGCGGCCTCCCTCCCGCACTTCCGGGTCGCGGTGTTTGCAGGGAATGCTCCGCGAGTAGCGTCGTTTCCGTTGCTGGCTGTTTGCAGTTGGGGAAACCGAGGCAGCTCCAGCTCCCCCTAGTTCTTCCGCTCCTGTGAGGTGGCCGCCGTTTCTTTTCTCTCACCCTGCGCTGTTTCCGTGCGGCTGCGCCGAGGGTGCTCGGGTTTGCGCGAGCCCCGCGGTTTCTGCGGGAGCTCGGCGGGGCGCCCCGACGGCGGGGCTTTGTGCGCGCCGCTGTCTCAGCTCCGGGCCGCGCGCGGGCCGGCTCTGCTGCTGCGCGGGTCCCGCCGGGCTGGCGTCCCTCCGCCGGGCAGCCCCCGTCTTTTGTCCCGGGAGCGCGGGCTGGAGGAACGCACTTTGGACCCGGTCCGCCGCCTGTGCCACGCAGGCGGCCCGAGCTGCGCCAGGGCCGGCTCGCAAGCCCTCAGGCCCGCGTCCGCAGCGGGCGCGGCTGCGGGGTGCTGCGGGCCGCCCAGAGACGAGCGCTGTGTTGAAGTGTGTTCCCCTCACGTGCATCCCCCCCTCCATTCACCAGCGAGGAGTTTCTTTGTTATAACATCCAGGGTTATTAAGTGTGTAGGATTTTTTTGTTTGGATTTTTAAAACACTAGGATTTCCTCCCTTCACGTAATTGAATGGGAGATGAAGGATTGGGCGTGATTTGTTCTATTTTCTTCTTAGGGCTTCAGTTTGTAAGCCATGTGCAGCGCGTTTACTCGCTGACCTCAGCTGGTAATGGCCCAGCTGCAGCAGCTCATCCACGGAAGCTTAAGAAGAACTTATTATGAAAACAGTTGAGATGTTTGGAGTATTTTAATTGATGCTTAGTTGGGCTGATCAGTCCTACTTCTCAGAGTGAGAAGTTACAACAGGAAGCTGTGAAATACAGTACAATCGATTCAAAACGGCAGACCATCTTACTATCATTCTTTTAAGCCATTAGGTAGGTTGGTGAAGTTCTTTTGTTTTTTATGGTTTTTTAAAAAATGATACGTTGACGTTTGATTAGTCCATCATTTAATTAATTATCTTGTGTATATTATATCTGTCGTTTTCTTAGATGCCTAATGAAACGATCACAAAACACAGTGAACTAGTTAATAGATGCTAAAAATAATTTGACATTTGGTGAGTTGGATAAATTGTAATTATTTTTTTTTTTCAGTTTTAAATTCAACTTAAGGCCATTAAGCTTGTGTTCTGTATTTCCTTCCCCCAGGGAAAAAAAAAAAATGTTTCTTTCTTTGTGGGAGTTCTTCTACGGGCACTTTTTTCGATTTTGGATGAAATGGCTCTTACGACAGATGACTGGAAAGTGTGAATTACAACGAATTTTTGATACCTATGTAGGCGCACAAAGGACACACAGGATAGGTAATGTTACTGAAAAAAGAAAAACCTTAAAAGAATTTAAGTTTGAAGACTAGAAAAAGTGACAGTGTAGTAGTGTGCGTGCTGGTCGGGTCACACTGGATTTTTGTCAGCTTTGTGATTTCTGTTTGAGCCTTCTCAGTTCTAAAATTGTGTTATAGAAAAAGAAACCAACTGCAAGTGTGTATCTGTGCACAGAATGGTCTTATGTGGTTTCTTCAGTTTATCATTTCTTTTGATTCTAACCTGTTTGCTAGAGAAAACTTCCTATACTTCTGCAACCCCTGTTCACAAAAGTGGGAGGAGTGAGGTGCTTCAGTCTAGAAGCACCCTTCACCAGTCTTTTCATGTCTTACTCCTGAAAGGACAGTGGTTTGGTGTTCAGTGGTCCCTAGGAAGATTAGTAGACTCCGAATTGTACTGTCCAGTACCATAACTCCTGGTGATAGCCAGGTATGATTATTAGGAGCTTGGAATGTGGCACCGATGTTTGATTTGTTTCACAACTGTCAAGTATGCACTAGATTTCCAAGTCGCTAAACATGTCATTGTTTATATTTTTTATACATTGACATGCTGTTTTGGATCTACTGAGTTAAAATAATTTTACCTGTTTCCTTTTACCCTAATGTGACTAGAGAGAATTTTGTGGTACATTTGTGACTCACATTTCACTTGCATAATCTTTCTGTTGGCCAGCGCTACTCTTATTTTCTGAAATATGTTGGTTTTTCAAGATTTCATTGAAAGTATTGCCCTAAATTAGAACACAAGTGAGAGAGAAGTGGTTTGAAACACTTTTTAGAAAAGATAGACTTGGGGCTGGTGAGATGGCTCAGTGGTCTAAAGCACCTACTTAGAACAAGCTTAGCAAAGCACAGGGACCGTGGTTCAATGCGAGCAGTGCATTAAGTGGAAGAACCATGAATTAAGCAGATCTTGTGTGTAGATGAGGTGGGTTTTAAAAGAAAAAATCACTCCATGAAGTTGGGGGACAGGAGTGTGGCATTGGAAAGTACACCAGAGACCACGGTGAGGGGATCTGACAGGGTGTGCCTTAGGGCAACCCGACAATTTAAGCTTAATTACTTTCTTACAACTGCTGATTGACTTCAATTACTGCCTACTTTTTTTTTTTTTTTAATTTTATTTGTTTATGTATTTGTGTGTGTGTGGCCAGCTCAGCCCACCAGGGGGCGCGGCTGGCTGGCATGTGGTGCTGGGGGATTGAACTGCGGTTCCTGTGCTTTGCTAAGCTTGTTCTAAGTAGGTGCTTTAGACCACTGAGCCATCTCACCAGCCCCAATGCCTACTTTTTTTATTTGCCCTTAGAAGAACAAAATACCTCTTTGATAAGAAACCTGTGCTGGCAGTATTGTTGATTTTTCATAATGTGGGGGAATCCTACGTTTAAAAGCTTAATTTTGGAAGAAAAGACTTCTTTTAATTTTTCAAGTTTGTGGAGATGATGATGATTAGTAAATATGCCAAGCTCTTTTTTTTCTTAGCCTAGGGCCTCATGGTTACTAAGCCAGCACTTCACCACTGAGCTACATTCCCACCCCTTACAAAAACAAAAAATTATTTAGAAACCTGAGGCCACTAACTTTCCCAGGCTGGCCTTAAATTTGGAATCCTACCTCTGCTTTCTGTGCTGCTGAATTTTTTTTTTCTTGTCATTCTTGAAACATGCCAGAAATGGAGGAGCTGCTTTATTCTTTGTCTGATTAGAGTGTGGTTGGCCAAATGGCTTTGCCCTTTTGTTCTTGCAGTATTCAGTTGCTAGCACTTCTAAACATTTACTTCTTTTTTTTCTTTTTCTTTTCTTTTTTTTGACGGAACCGGGGATTGAACTCAGGCCCTTGTGCTTGCCTGGGAAGCACTTATTCCACTAAGCCATCTCCTGGCCCCTAAACGTTTACTTGTAAAGGCCAACAAAGTAAGAAACTGTAGGAGGGAATGTAGTGGATGAGTTTTGGGGACCTAACTTAGCTGTGGACACTTCAGGGACCTACATAGAAAAAGAACTGGGGAAATACGGTTGGGTAGCACCTTTTGCCTCGCTATGTTGTGTTTTATTAAGGTTTTTTGAGCAGTACCTACTTCACTTATCTTGTAAGAATAAGATTTTAAAATGTTTGCTATGTTATTCACATAGAAATTATATCTTTTCAAACATAATTTAGTGGTTTGATATTTTTATTGTTATGGAGTAAATCACAAATAGCGTTAAAGTGGTAACTTTTTTTTTTAATTTCAGAAAATTCTTTGACCTACTCCAAGAATAAGGTAAGATCATACTAGGATGATAATTCTAGAAAACTTGAGCATTTTTTTTTCTTTAAAGAAATGTTTAAGTTTTAGAATTAGTTTTAGTGTCCTGCTAATGTTTTTGCTATAAAGAACATTAAATAAATTTTCCCTCTTAAGTCATTGTTTTAACATTTTTTTAAAGAAGTCATTGTTTTAGAACAAATCCCTCTATGCTTTGAATTAAGAGAATGTATAGTGTTTGTAAATAGGATATCATGTCAGCATCTTGTACAACCACTAGGAAGGCAATATGCAATGAGTTCATTATTGGAACTGTCCTACCAATTTGGTTTGAAACTGTCTCATTGCTATTTATTTCTCTAAAATTATGGAAAAAATTTAAAAACACAAAATATATAGTTCAAATAAAACTTGAAGGAATATAAAAAAATTGATAAAATATCAACCAAAAAAAAGTCATTGTTTTTAAAGTGTTTCTCTGTATGTTTTTCATGCATAGTGAAGTTCCTTGAATAATTAGTCCTGCTCTGAGGTTTTGCGCATTTATTTTGCCTTCAGAGAGTTGATAGCTTTGGAGGGAGAAAGTCTTCTCTAAGTCTGTAGGGCTAGCTATGTGGCAGAACAGCAAGCAGCTTTGGATAAAGCAGACCCGGAATCCTGTACTTTTTGGGATGGCCTAAGAAGCCCTACCTCATAACTGTATAGTCATAAGCTTTTGCTATATAACAACTTGTCACAAAAATCTCAGGAGCAAAAAATATGTTTCTTGCTCATGTTCTGTTGGTCAACTGATGAGGCTCTTCAGGCTGGTGCCAAGTTCAGGTCTGTTCATTTGCCTTTAACACCCAGGTGGGGGAAATAGTGGGGACCGACAGAATAATCTCATAGTAGATTGCTGGAGGCCCATATTTTAATTCTCTTGTATCATATCCATTAGCATCCTCTTGGTTAAAATAAGTGGCCAAGCCCATTTCAAGAAGTAGAGCAATATATATTATGCCTCACCATAAGGCTATGATAGAGGCAGGTGAGTATATAATTGACATACAAGGCAGTGAAAAACTGGGGCCAGTAATTAGTCTACCACATGCTGTTACTTCCCTGTATTAGTTCACAATTTTTTCTGCATACAAGCTATTTGATCTGACCAAGATAGAGTATGGGTGGTCTGAATCATTATTTGAAATCCCATTAATAGACCACAATTAGCATTAAACAACAAAATAGAATAGAAAATACTTAGAAATTTAATTTAGAGATTAAATATTGCTTTATGAAATTATTTAATTGTGTATGTGCAGATCTCTGTATTTTCAATATCTGTATATGCTTGTATTTGGTCATGATGTAAAATGCTAATCAAAGTAAAAAATTTGACTTGCCACTGTTGAATGAAAGTTATATGAGTTACTGATTTGTGCTGGAAACAGTGGTTGGTGAATGTTGTAGGGGTGTCTTATGTTCTGGTGAGTAGCCTAAAAACTAGGTGCTTCACTTAGTCTTTTATTAAGGAAATGTTTATGTAACAGTAACTCATGTGTCTGAATGAATGCTGGAGAGCCATTGTCTAGACTCTTCTCTTATTCAGCGTCTTAGGGAGTGATTAAAATTTTGTTTAAATGAGAACGTGTAGTTCAGAAAGCTAACAATTTGCTGCTTGTTTCTACCGTATCCACCTACATAGTTGCTTTAATTGAAGCTTGGGATATAGCTTCCCAAATTATCAGTATCAAATCATAGCAGATTTGCACAGATAAGTATTTTATTTCAAATCTGATTACAAGAGTGGCCCTCAAGCTTGAGCAGAATCTTCTGGAAGCCTGTTAAGCAGCCCCCAAGGTTTCCATGCCCTGGATCTCTGATTTGCTTCTGCTCCCATTTCTAAAGCGTGCCCAGGTGATACTGTTGCTGCTCTCGGGCTGCTCAGGACACGCTCTAAGGATCCTTCTGCTAGTGTGCTGTGGAGTTCTGCTCTGGATCCTAACTGCTCTAACCTTGTTTCTGTAGGGAACAGTCATTGCATTTCCCAACCTGAGCATACCGCATTTCAAAATGTCATAAATTTGAAAATATTTGGGTAGTGAACCGTCTAGAATGGATTGTTCTGTGAAATGTTCTTACAGCTTTCAAATTGCAAAGAGAACAAAACCATAACTAAGCTCATCACATCTACATTTTCTAGCCCACCCCCCTAGTGAGGAATTGATCCTGTCAGACACAGCTGAGCTCTCTCTGCCGGAAGTTACCAGCAGCACCTCTGCTGTCACCAAACCTCCCTGAGCCCCGTCTTCATCTGCTCCTTTTGGCCTTGCTCCCATGTCATCAGCTCCACACCACTTTACATTTCAGACACAAAATCATGATCCTGTCCCAGAGCCTTCGTGCTGCTCTGTTGAGCCAGAATGTTCTCCCTCCTGGCCTGTCTTCAGGTTTTTCGTCAGTCATGAATTTTTCTCCAAGCATCCTGACCACCTTGTACTTAAAATAGAACTCCTCAACTCTCCCTGTCTTCTTTCCGTGGTTGTTTCACTGTATTTTACTTTATATTTTCCCATTCTCTCCTGCCCCAAAGAAAAAACAAAAAAAATACCCAGTGTTTTGTATTTGGTTCGCAGATGCAACATTTGTACATGCAGAAGTGTCTGGGTGTAATGAGCATTTTGGATATAAAAGGAGAAATTAAAAGATGAAGAGTAGCAAGTGAAGGGTAATTCCTTTTTTCTGCAGAGACTTTGCAGTATTTGTTTCATTTACTACTTCATAGAGAGGTTCTGGAACTGATGGTATCGTGTCTCTAGGACAATGCTAAATAAAATGAGAGCACCAACATACTCACTGTGTTCTCCATGGGATGGACTTTTCTCATTCAACTTTCTTGTCAATAGATTTTACAGAATGCAACACAAGTAGTTGAGAGTGAAGTGGACAAATGTGTGGAAGATATAATGAAGGAAAAGAATATTAACCCTGAGAAGGATACCAGGTGTGTTGTTTTCACATGATAGTGATGATGATGATGATGATGATGATGATGATGATGATGGTGGTGGTGGTGGTGATGATGGTGGTGATGATGATGGTGGTGGTGATGGTGGTGGTGATGGTGATGATGATGGTGATGATGGTGGTGATGGTGATGATGATGATATGATGATGATATGATGTGTTCACAGCTTCTCAGGTGTAGAGATCACACAATTTTAACACTTTGTGGAGCAAGTCTAATTCTACCCTTTCACTTCACTAAGTGGACTGCTGGGGTCTGCAGAAGTCAGTGAGAGCCACTCACTAAATCCCGTCTCAGCTTCTGGCCTAGAGCAGTTGTCGTCATACCATCTGGCTCCTTTCGGGTACCTCACCATCACTTTCCCAGGGTTACATAATAGGCTTATGTCCTCCTTGCCCTTCACGATTCAGTTGTTCTGTCCTCTGGTGAGGTCTTCCCTGGCTTCTTTAGTCTGAGTTAGGTGCATTATTCTGTCCTCGCTTAGAGCTCTGCTGTACTACCACCACTTGTGTGTTGTTGTTCCACAAGAGGAGGTCCGTGGAATGCTGGGGTGGTGCACTTGACATGTTGCAGGCCAAACCAGCATGCCAGATGTGGGCCTGTGGCTTTTCAGCACATAAGCTGCACTATCAGTTATATATTGAGGCAAGATGGAGAGTAGATGTGTGAGGCTAATAGTGGAATAAAGACAAAACAGGAAAGAAATGATGAAGCCATAACTATAGCCAGGGAGTTAGGAATGTGAAGATTACTTTGAGGGACATTTTAAAGATATGACATCTGAGGACTGGCCAGATAGCTCGGCAGACTAACGCGCCTGCATAGGCAGGCATGGGGACCGGGGTTCAATCCCCAATATGCCGTGCCAGCCCTGCCTCCAAGGGCTTGCTGAGCCAGTGACTGAGACTGGACGTGGTGGTACATGCCTGTAATCCCAGTGCTTGGAAGGCTGAATATAGGAGAATCACTACAAGTCCAATCTGTCTAGTGAGACCCTGTAGACTCTGTACTAAATACATTTAAAAAAAAAAAAAAGACATGACACTGTGCATACTAAGCAAGCACTGTACCTCTGAGCTGCATCCCCAACCTTTGATGTAAATTGTTGGCAAAGAGAGGTGGATCAGAGCTTGGTGTGTTCTAGGTCTGGGATCTAATGGTCAATGAGATCATTAATCTCAAAACTTCTCTGTTTCTTCAGGGAAGATAAGCTCTTTTAGTTAGAAAAATGCACATAAACTGTCACAGAGCTATTTGTTATGCTTAGAGAATTAGTTCTGTTGGTGGTATCTCAAAATAGATTTGGGGTGCCCAGGACTGCCCACAGGAAATAGGAGAAGAGGTGGGTCAGCCTTGGGGCTGTACGGCCTGCTGTTTCTAGGCCGTCTTCCCACAGCCTGTTTTATCATATCCTACATAACTCTTGGTACATCTCGAGTGTTTAAGGAGACTTGGTTCTTGTATTATACTGAAAGCCAGGAAGTGCTAAGTAGACATAGGAACTACAAGCTATGAAGCTATGGAAGGCATTACTTTGTTGTGATACAAAAGTATGATTTTAAAACTAATTTTTTTATTTTCAGTTTTAAAATCTGTATGAAGTCATGCTTACTACAGATAACTGGTTATAAACAACTCTATTTGGATGTTGAAAATGTGAGGAAAAGGCCATATGATTCTGATAATGAACAACACGAAAAGCTACTCCTGAAGGTAAATTTTTAATATTTGTATTTGTTGGATGCTAGAACAACTAATCAGGCTTGAGCTAGGCAAGATCTATGTCTAAAATCTAAAAATTTTTTAGCTATCCAAATGGTTTGCCCCTTAGAGAATTTTGTTATGTTAGGTTTCATTGATATGGAAAGATTTTTGGTCAGTATTTATAATTTCATAAGCATCAATAAAATGTCAGATAAATTTTATTTTAATGCTTTTAATTCTGAAATAAATTATAAATTCATAAAGATCTTTTTTAACCAAAAATCTATGGATCCTCAGATTTTCACAGTACTTTTTAAATAAATTGCTCCCGTATATTTGGCATTATTTTTAGCTACTCTCAAGTTGTGACCATGTATATCCCTTTATAAATTATTAGGTAAATCTTTTAAGATTTATGGGATGTTAATAGGCAATGTCATGATAGATTTTTTTTAAACTTTCCTATTTTTTATTATTGAGGTGTAAATATGTAAGGTAAATGAAGTGCCAAAATTAAAGTGTGTTAGACCTGGAGTAAGCTTTACGGATCATCCAGTTTTAGGAATCGGGGGTCTAAGGCCCAGAGAAAATGAAGTGATTCATGTTAGTACTAGGAAGTAGGGTCTAGAAAAGAGCAGTTTATTGCTGTCCTATATGTCTGTTCTAATATTTTTAAATGATTAAAAAAAATTGCACATATTATACTTGGAAATAAGAGTCATTATAACAAAAGTACTATGGAAAGAAACATTAACATTATCTAAGTAAGAACCACAAATTTAAAAACAAGTGTTTTTTCTCCAGGGGAAAAAATCAAACATATACTTCACCTAATTGTAAAATTAAAACACAACTTGGTTGTGTAAAATGAGGACATTAAAAATAGATATCTCTAAGGGTTGTAGTAGGGATCGTCCTTTTGTATTTCGAGTATTTAAATTAGTATCTGGCACTCACTGAGGATTAATGCTGTTTTCTATCCTCATAGTTATTTTTTTCATTTCAGACTCTTTTTGAATACCTTCCCATTTTTAAAAGGGATAAGATACAAGTGCTAACATTGTAGTCTAGGGCATTTTATTTTGATGATTCATTATGAAATTCAGACCTGGAGGCAGAGAGCCACTTCTTAGTGATTTACCCGACATGTGTAACTCAGCCATCTCCCTGGCTAAAAAGCTGTGGGATCCATGCTGCTTCAAGTGCAGCCCTAGGAGCACCTTCGTTAGACTTCAAGTTTACTAGTGTATAGAGTCCAGAATACTTTGTCCTCAAGAAATCAGAATCTGCAGGGCAGGAGACCAGGGCGTTGGTGCTTATTCATAGTAACTTCGAGTTCTTCTGATTTCACACCACATCTCAGCACACACACTGACATACTCACTCCTTGTGGAATTCACAAGGTGTTAATGTGAACCGATTGTATGTGGTGTTAGTAAAAGTGGGGCCAAGAGGAAGCCCAGTCTAATGATTAGATTTGGCTTCAAAGCCAGTTTTTTACATTTTATTTTAGGTAACAAGAGCCTTCCATTAGGAGTCCTTTATTCCACAGTGCCAGAAATGGTAGTGAAATGGAGGGTGGAACTGTTTCTATTTCGTAAATTTTCACAAGCTTTTTGTTAAATTAGCTTTTGTAAGTCTGTTTTGTTTTGATTTGTTTTGTTGGTATTTAGTATCTGATAACTGCCATTAAATTCTTTTTTTAAGGATATTATTTGAAACCAAAACTTTTTTTCTTTCAAAACTGAATATTTATAAACTAGTTATAATATAGGTTGGGATATTATGGTTTCATGATCTCCTCCCTCAGGCCTACTTGCACTTTCAGATTAGGGCTTAATCAACTAGGGGTAATCATCCACTATTATAGTACAGCCAGTTGAAATATACAAGGCCAATTGCCCTAATGCTGTGTTTGTTAGGCAATTAACCAAAAATAGTAAATAAAACGTCTTACTGTTTTAGGTTCTTTTATATTATTTGTTATATTTTCAAAATGTATTCTTTATTTTTATTTATTTATTTATTTATTTTTTTGGTGGAACGGGGGATTGGACTCAGGCTCTTACGCTTGCCAGGGAAGCGTTTATTCCACTGAGCCATCTCTCCAGCCCCTCAAAATCTATTCTTTATAAGTCATTTTGGTTGAAGAAATGAACTGCATTTTTAGGGTAATTGAAAAGTTTTCTAAACGTCTGTTGAACTGTTTATGATATGTCTACAAAAGTTTGTTATTTAAAAGCCTTGAATTACTAGTTATATAAACCATGAGAAAGGAAATGTCTTGGTAAATTTAGAACGTCACCATGATTTATAACATGGGAGCATGTCATGCAGCTTTGGAACCTCCTCATGCCCACGGTAAAGCTGACAGCCAGGATCTCCAAGCAGTGGGCCGACATTGGTTTCCAGGGTGATGACCCCAAAACAGACTTCAGAGGCATGGGCATACTTGGACTGATCAACCTGGTGTGAGTAAAACTAAGCTTGCTTTCTTTCTCTAAAGAAATTACATACAGCTTCCTGTCTAGCTCCGTTCTACCAAGAGTTGATCTAGTTGCTTTATACTAGCTCTGAATCATAACGCAGTGCTCAGGGCATATGCCGGTGTGCAGCGGCACAGCCTTTGAAGTCCTAGGGGAGCCCCCTGCTCCCCTGCTCTTCCTGATCTCTGCTGGTATTCCTTTCGGCGCTGTGCATACTCTCTTCTTGTTATAAATATCCTCTTTTTCTTTCTGGGCTCTGATTCCATTTAGGGACAGATAACTAAGATGATGAAAGGTCTCTTCATGTGTATTCTACATTACTTGTGCAACTGATATAAATCCCTGACTTCAGAGCCAACATAGACTTGCTCTTCCAGTTTTTATTATTTATGATTATATACGTTAATGAAATCCCAAAACATGCAACTGAAATCATAAATGATAGCGAGAATTATTCTAGAGAAGAAACTGGAAGATGAATTTCCTATAGGGATGGTGGATTCTATTGTTTGGGTCTGGCCATGAATTGTGATTTAAAGATTATAAAATGTCTGAAATGTGGGGCCAAGTGCTGATTCTGACTGAAAAAATTCTGAAATTGAGCTACACTAGGTTAATATTTGGGTGAATATCAGTAAGGCTATTTTGGGGAAAGAGGACTTCATAGTAGGCTTTCCATATTTTTCTCAAATACAAACTATATGATTTCTTTAAATACCTAAACTTTATAAGCATTTATTTACCCAGTAATGCTAATTCTCAGAGATGACACGTAATCTTAATGTTTTAATTTTAAAAATTATATCTCAGCACCTTCAGAAAAGAATTCAGTATAAAGTTTCAATAATTTAATAGAATTTGACTCTAGGCTGAGGTCAGGGATTCTAGTAAACCTTTGACTTCAAGATATTTTCACTCCACTTAGAATTAATATAAACTAATTGGAAAAATTACCATATGCAAGTAACTATTTGATTCCCAAAACTGTACTAAAATGACCTAACCGTGATTCCTTTGTGATATGGTTTATTGTTCTTTACACACAGTCGAGTAACAGGCAAGCTATTAAAGTTATGCAATTATTTTTCAATTTCTTGCCCTTTGTCATACAGTCTGTTAAGATACTTTCTGGCTTTGACGTATGTTGATGATTTGATAAATAACAAGGCTAAGATAAATGCGTAGGGCGTGTGTACAGAAGAAGAAAGGATGTTGTGTAGAAAATGATTTTGAGGGAGACTGAAAAAATCTGAATAAATGAGGAAATTGAAGCAGCAAAGCAGAAGAATCAAGTGAAGACCAAAAGTATATGTAGGAAGAAGGAATGGTGGGAGGAGAGGCAAGAGCCGGGAGAACAGGGGAGGAGGTGTGACACTCAGTGCACAGGGTAAGTTGAGCTCAGGAAGTTCAGCAAGGAAATTAAAAGGTGCTGTTTTACAGATTAAGGGTAGTTTCACTTTTAGAATGTAAGTGAATGCTGAATTTTATGAAGAGTGTTGTGTACAAAAATGCAATATAAACAGTCCCAGGATCAAGCAGAACTGGAGCACTAGGAAAGCACTGCCTTAAGCAAGACTCATGGGGTTCCCAGATCTGTCTGAGGATCTGAAGATAGCTGTGTGTATTCTGTCCTCAGAGAATGTGCCCATGAAACGTCTGTGCATCCTCGAAGGAAATTGCAAGGGCCACCTTCAACCTTGACCGATCCTCGCTTGCAGACATTGAGTTAACAGCTCCTTGTTCAGTGGCTTCAAATTGTGAGCCCCTGAAGAATGTGTGACTAGTCCGTAGAAGAAAAAGCACAGGAAGATCAGACATTTCTACTCTATGAGCAAATTTTAATGATTATGCCCTCTACAATGGAAACCTAAGAACCAGTGTTTTAATATTTATTTGTGTATCAATGTCCATCCAGTCATCGATTGTGCCTTTGCGAGCACCATTGGTTATGAAGTGAGACAAAGTTGAACACATTTGGTCCCTTCTTTACCAACTCAAGGTTGTATTAGCATAGGCCAGAAGGATGTTTGAACTTGGAAATAGGTCGCTTTCTATGGTCCTCCTGTATGTAGTGCTTCTGTTTTACTTGCAGTGAATTAGTTTACTAGATTTTTTTGTTTTTTTCTGGTAAATGAAATATTTTCTCTTGATTGCACTGAAAATGCCACTAACCAATACAGACTAGGTTGTGGTCATAAAGCTTTGGTGAAAGGTGGTGCCCAACAGGTACATGTTTTACTGTTTTATAAAAATAAGAGCAAATTTATTAAAAGATATATGTATATATATATAAAAATTTTTATGTGATTTTTTAAAAAGTATATTTTACACTTCTGCCAGAGATTGTGCTTGTACTGGATAGGCCTAATTTCTTAGGATTATTTTGAGTCAGTAAGTGATTTGGGACAGAAATTGGGATGATTATGGCAACACTAGGATTCTTATTTTGATTATAGCAGTTGTCTCTGGATATTGTTATGCAGTCTGAATGACATATGCTTATTTCATGATTTTCCTTAAACATTTTTAGGTACTTCAGTGAAAATTACACCAGGGAAGCTCATCAGATCCTTTCCCGCTCAAATCATCCAAAATTAGGGTAAGCTGAATAACAGAAAATCCGATTAGATGATTAAATGCATTTGAAGGCATGCCAGGGTCTTTCTTTTAGGGTATCACTTCTTAAAATACTATGCTAATAAGAACTTTATAAAGAATATTGGATGAGGCGTTATTTTTAAGGAAAAATGTGTTCATAAACTTTTGTATATACAGTGAAACCTTGATTTGTAAGAATAATTCACTCTGTTCATAGCCCAAAGCACTTGTGCATCAGAGCAGCAAGAGGGCCAGCCGTGACCATGTGACAGCCACTTGGGCGGTCACTCAAGTTACAATGTAAAACTAGGTTTTTGGGTGTTTTTTTTTTTCTGGTAAATGAAACATTTACTCCTGATTGCACTAAAAATGCCACTAATCAATACAGACTTAGGTTGTAGTCATAAAGCTTTGGTGAAAGGTGGTGTCCCAACAGGTACATTTTGACTATTTTATAAAAATAAGAGCAAATTTTTGTAAAAGATGTATATATAAAGAAATGTTTGTTCATCTTGCAGAATAATTGCCAACCAAGTTGCTCACAATCCAAGGCTGCACTGTATTTTAGTACATTTTTATGACAAGATACAATATAGTTATAAAATAGAGACTTAGCGATTATAAAATTTTATTGAGAATAGATTTGAAAATAGGATTAGGAATGGCTTGAAGTTAAAAACAGGAAAATGGGAATTAGCTTTGAAATTTAGAAAATAAAATGTAAACTGAGGTTATATTATTAGCTTTAGTATTATTTTGTTTATATATTCTATCTTTAAGAAAACAGTAATAGTGTTAGATGAGAAAAGCAAATATCCTGATAATGGAGAAGAAAATGCCAGCTTCTCTACTGTAGTTTAGAGATCATTGAAGCTTAATGAACTTAGTGCTTTCTTGGTTTTAGAAATCATGTGAACAGGACTTTATTTTTTTTCTTAAATTTTATCCAGAAAAATCAATAGGCTTTAGAAAACACTTTTTAAAATTTTTCTGATTTATTTTTCTTATAGAAATTATACTAAAAGCAATAGTATTTTTTAAAAAGTCACCTTTTACTGATTCCTTACATAATATAAATTTATTTTATGAGCTATCTGGCTATTGGCATAACTGGTAATGTTTCTGACATAGGTATTCTTATGCAATAGTTGGAATCAATCTCACAGAGATGGCTTATAGCTTGCTGAAGAACAAAGCTCTGAAGTTTCATCTGTACAACTTTGTTCCTGGTGTGCCAACAATGGAACACTTTCACCAGTTTTATTGTGAGTATTACATTGAGTTAATGGATCTGAGAAATTCTTTAAACCACTAGGAAGGTATAATATATATTTAGATTTACTATATCAAGTATAATGCTTGTGTTTACCATTTTATTATCTAGGATCTATTTTTGTTGTTGTTGTTGTTGTGGTATAATATATATTTAGATTTACTATATCAAGTATAATGCTTGTGTTTACCATTTTATTATCTAGGATCTATTTTTGTTGTTGTTGTTGTTGTTGTTGTTTTGGGGTTTTTTTTTGGCACCTGGAATTGAACTCCCTGTGCTTGCCAGGCAGGTGCTTGTTCTGCTGAGCTACATTCAAGGCCGCTGTCTAGGATCTGGAAACCAGAAAATAATGGAAGATAGGTCTCTAGGAGTACATTGTACTTCAGTTTTTATATTTGCTAATTAGAAAAAAGTGTACTGAGTTGAGGCAGTTTTCACATGTATGCAGGTTTCAAATTCATATGATTCTGTAGACATTCCCTAGTCAACTAAAAAAATGAAGTTTCCATTTTTATTGCTAGCTAATGAATTAGATTACCATGCACAGATTATTTTTTTTTGTTCTAAAGTCCATTAAAGGAGCTTTTGAGCCCTCTCGTTTCAAGGGAAGTTGTTCTGGTGGTGGTAGGAATACTATACCACCGTTCCTCAAGCAGTGGCCAGTACCACTGCTCATAAACTTCCACTCTGCTGATGCTCAGACACTGAAGGCTCAACTGAATAGACCCATGCCCGGAAGCTGTTGTTTGGAAGCCAAGAATCAGGATCTGCCATGCAGCAGGCACCTCCCGGTGCCAGTCTATTGCTCTGGTCCCTTCATCTTAAAGTCTTCAAAATAAGTGCTTTCATTCTTTCTCTTCACCTCCAGTTTTTATCTCACTTCAATTCATGTCACTTCACTGAAACTCATTTTCTCAGTATTTTTCATGCCTCATGGGACTGCCATGATTTTTCCTCATGTTACATGTTCTTTTAACAGTAGACATCAGTGACCACAACTCTTCTTGAACACAATCCCGGTTTTCTGGATCTGCCAGACAGGCAGGGCCTTATTAGTGTGGGAGCGTGTGGAGCCCAGCCCTTGGCCCGCTTCTCTCAGTAGCTCTCCCTGTCTCCTGAGTGATCTCATCCATCCTGGCTTGAAACGCCTCGGTGTACTCTCGGGGCTCTACAAATAGAGAGCCATAGCCCAGCCACTCTCTCCAGCCCCAGTACTGCTGCTGACCTTTTTCTTAATTTGATAAAGGACTATGGTGATGGGCCCACCAGGTAGAGCCCAGTGTCTGGTGTCCTCAGATGGACGGACAGCCTTGGTGACTATACCAAGTCGAGTGAAGATCCTTTTCCTTTACCATCGAAGGCCCTCTCTGCTTTGTTTGCGGACCCTCCCGGCCCTCCTGACTGACCTGGAGACTGGCTGAATGCCTTACCTGCTCCTAGACTGACATAACAGTTAGATCCAAATCCCCCCTAGTGCGACTGTCAGGCATACAGATGGTGAGATGGAGGTCCACCCTGTGACCTGAAAAGGACCCTTGCCGTAAGTGTGCCTTGGCCGAGCCTTAGCCGGTCTTCTTTCTGGGGCTTTGGACACCATACTAGATTTTCACCCAGATCTACCTCTTCCTTCCCTGGTCACCAGTTCTTGTCTTTCAGCTCACTGCTATGGACTGGTCTTGTTGGGTTTCCTGTCCCAGATTTACATCCCTCTTGTGTCTCATTTTCATGTAGTATGTCCTGTTACATGCTGTTCTTAAATATAAGACAAGTTTTAAGATAATCCAAAAGCTCCCTCCAGCACTTTCCTGAAGAGAAGTAAATATACAAGGGTAGTAGATAGGTAAACAGTGCAAATTGTCCTTAAAGACTGGTCACTTGGGGACCTTTGGGTCCTGCACTGTTCTCCAGTGCCCTTGACAGCAGCATCTCCATGGGCTTCTGCCTGGGAAGGGCCTCAGAGTCCCATCCAGGATGGGCAAGTAGAGCCCTTTCAGTTACCTAGGTTCTGTCGGTTCAGGCCCATGTGAGAGCATGGCTTATCCTACACTTTTCATTTTTATTGAGACATTTTAGCACACATAGGAGCTTTCCTGTTAAGTAGAAGTTTCAAAAAATAGTTTCCATACCACTTATCAGTGGAGGGAGTCTGCAAGTTAGCTCAGCTGTTCAAGCGCCTGTTCATGCAAATGCAGTCAGGTGCAGGGGACCACAGTTTGATTCCCCAGCTCCACATGCCTTACCAGACCCACCCTTAAGGCAGCCTGAGCCAGCCAAAAAGAAAGAAAAAAGAAAAAAATCGATTTATCAGTGGATATTTCATAAGGTTCTGCTTTTCTTCTGAAAGGAGCCTCTTCTAACTAGAATAACAACTTGAAACTATGTATAGTCATTGGGTTTTTTCCAAAACAGAAAACTACAAAGAGTTTACTTTCATCTATATTTCCTTGTGATCTATCCTGAGCTCTCTTCAATCTTCCTGCTCTGATGTGATGGTGTTCTGTGTAAAGCCTGGGGACGATCGTGGTAACATGGCCTCTTAGTCCCACTGTCACCTTCTTGACTGATGAATTGTGGACAGGTACCCACCACCACCCCCTGGAAAGCTGCTACCAGCTGACCTGGCAAGGGCTCAGGGCTGCAGACCGCCAGCTTTCAGATGCCGCTGTCCAGCATGTCTCGGGGCTAGTGTTTGAGCACCAAAGGACTGGAGTGGGTTTCAAACATTTACACCTCAGGTTTCTGTAACCAAATGTTATGCCTCCACAGCAAGCTTCTTGAGGACTAATTGTACCCAATGCAGGTATTTCAGTGAGTGTTAATGAACTTACCCAGTTCATTACCTATGATAACCACCATCATAGTCCAGTATTAGAACATTTCTGTTATCTCTGCAGGCAAGTCAGGCAGGAATTTTGAGTTTAAACATTCTTATGGTACTTCCTGTTGAGTTTATTCAAAACATCTGAACTTCAAAAGAACAATCTGTGTTCTATATGGAATAGCTTATTTCCATCATTTTCTGCAGAGCTTAGGCATCTAGGTAACCTTGCCAGCTTCCTAGAATTTTGATCCCATTTTTCCTGTAGTTTTCTGATGTTTTAATAAATCAGTGTAGCTGTTAGAGTTGTGGTGCTGAGTCAGTGTGAGACACCAATGACATGGCTGTGAAGCGGGAAGTTTCTGGGACCTGAGCAGTTTGATCCAGCCTCTGAAGACGTCCGATTAGGCCATATTACTGACAGTAATAAAAGAGCAGTTTATAGAACATGTGAGAAAAGAACTATATCTAGTAGGCAGAAACAATAACAAATCAGATGGTATGTATGATAAGCTTTCAATGACTTGATTTTTCCGACTAAGAATGTTACTATTGTTTTATCTACATCTCTATCAAAGCATTGGTGGAGATGAGGGTGAACGCAGACTATATTTGTATGTAATTTCTGTCTGTCCTATTGTCATTATGTGCATATAAAATGAGCTTTAGTGAAGTGAAAATAGAATGTAACTTTAAAAACAATAAGATTGGAAAGCCTTTTGGAGGTGCCATGAAATTCTAATGGAAACCGAAGTCCAATTTATGACACTGCTTACAGATGCCGCCATATCACTTAGCCTCTGAGCCTGCTTCCTCAGGTAGAACGGGAAAGAAGTGCAGGCCTTCGGCCGTGCAGTTCTGGAGAAAACAAGCGCATTGTGCTCACCATGGGCATATTTAAAAACAGCAGCTTAACAAATTTGCTTGAATATTAAATTTACATGTAAATTCATGTGTGTGTGTGTGTGTGTGTCTGGGTTTGGCTTCATGAAACATTTTCAGCGTTTTAAGGGTTCATTTGGGTAATGTATGAAGATACTGAAAAAATACTGGAAAAAAGGTTACATTCTTTCTAGATATATGGTTTAATGTGATTTTATTAGTAAGGGTTATTTTTTCTTTTCTTTAACTACAGGTTATCTGGTCTATGAATTTGACAAGTTTTGGTTTGAAGAGGAACCAGAAAGCATTATGTACTTCAACCTATATAGAGAGAAGTTTCATGAAAAGATTAAAGGGCTCTTAATGGACTGCAACGTAGCACTTACTTTAAAAGTATAAACCATCCTTAGTAGCTTCTATTTCTACCACATTTTGCACACACAACAGAATTTATATGTTGTAATAGAAATTATCTGATCAATTACACTCATATAATTTCCTACAAAAATACTTCAGAAATATTCTATTTACGAAAGCTAGTGGACAATCAGTGTATGTTTACAATTGTTTATACACTGTTTTCCAAAGTTAACCTTATCCTTCCAAAGATCCCTTCTGTACATTCATGTGAACTACAGTTTGGAGCTTGGGATTTAGTCTGTTAGTATAAAAGCGTAAGTCAGGTATTTACATTAAATTGATTGATTTAAATGTGTAAAAATCAGTTTTCATTTTTATGTGTTGTAACTATCAATTGGTGTCTTTTTCAAAGCTCTTTAAATTTTTTCTCATTAGTCTGCAAATGACTGGTTCTAATTTGTTTTGTCTTTTTATTTTTAGGCTGATTAACAGCAAGAGCAGTTGTTTGCTTCCGGTGGGTTTTCTGTTTCGTTCAGGTGGCGGTGCTGGGGTGGAGCGCAGGCCTTCCTGCACACTGCGTGGCCCTCTCCCCGAGCTGCAGCACAGCCTGAGCGTAGCTCTGCGTGGCTTGCTTTGTTTGTATCTCAATCACTTATCAGAGGCCACTTTATATTAGTAATAACGAGTATAGAGATGGCAGCCAGGATAAAGAAGGAGGTTTTCCTTTGTGGAGATAACTGGAACATAACAGTTAATGAGAGAATGGCAGTGTTTCTTTGTTTTTAAATAACACTTAAAATGTTGATGTTATTTTAAACTTACAAGGCATTTCTCATCTTCAGAACTTACTTTTTTCAGTCGTAAGGAAAAAAAAAAGCCTTACTTGGTGCTTTAGTGTGAGGGCCTCCACCTGTGTGGTTAATTAAAAGAGATGTATTTGCTGAGAAAATTTTGATTGTGATCAAAAGACAGTTTCTATTAAAATAAAGCTGTCTTTTAAACAAGAAAAAGGTACTTAAAAGCCTCAGTTAAACCCCATTGGTTTATTTGACTGTTAACTTTTGCTTTGACTGCGTGGCATTTGTAGAGTGGTGGTGTACGGACCTGTGTTAACAGTCTGGGATAATAAAGCAGCTTGAGACTGATGACTGTGCATTTGATATAGCTTTATTCTCCTTAAATCTCAGGAGGACAGCAAGTGCTGTCAAGGATTAGATGAGATGAGACTAATGGGAACAATTTCTTTTGGTGTGTTTGGAAGTTGTTACTCCTAGAAAGGCTAAAAAAGCTTATAGCCAGGTGTGATAGTACATGCCTATGATCCCAGCACTCGGGAGGCTGAGGCAGGAGGATTCCTACATGCTTGAGGCAAGCCTGGGCTACGTGATGAGTGCAAGGACAGCCTGAACTATACAGCAAGACCCTGTCTCTAATAAAACAAAACCCCGAAGCGCCTCAGGCCAGGAACGTTCATCTCATTACTCTGTGCTCCTGAAGCCCTTCAGAACCCACTTGTTAAGAGACATGATTTGCAGCATGACATTTTGCGCGTCTTTCAGTGTGGTGTCTAGCGGGTGTTTAAGGCGCAGCCTGCACGGACGCAGCGCACGCTGTGCTCCTCAAGTCGTTCGCTGTGGCAGCCCAGCTCTCCAGTTGGATCAGAAAGAAGCACGAAATGCCCGAGTGGGAAGTCACAGATGCAGCATTAGAACTATTTTTTTCTCAGTAAGATAAAACTATTTTTAAAACTTTATTCATTTTATTATAATAATAGAAATTTAACTCTGCAGTATTACAGGAATTTAATAATTTCTGATAGACTTTTCAATCTTGGGAATATCCTCACTTAGTTTTTTAAAAATATTCTCACGATTTATTGTCCAGCTAGAGCTTTATGATGTGTAGCAAAATTCTAATAAAACAAATGTTAACCATTGGTGTTCATTGTATTGAGGTGTTGACTAGTCTGTGGTAAGCAATTGTTGGCATTCCAATTTTGTGCTAAAAATGTTTATCTTTCAACAACAGAGACCTTGAAACTCATTTAAACCTTTGTTACTATATGTATTTAAGAAATACTGGAAGTATGGAAAAATAGCCTGTTAAGTCTTTCCTTTTCAAGGGAGGGGAAAAAATAGTATTTCAAGAAAATGTAATTATAAAGTTTGTTCAGTAATTTTTTTTTTAAATCTCTGTCAGTACAGATAATGTTGTTTTAGCTTAAAATGATCATTAACCACTTCAGACAGTTCTATAACAAATTGATCCAAAAGCCACAACAAGTTCCAAGATTTGATAGTCTGGAAAGGCAGCCTGTCACCAGTCATAAGTTATACGGTAACATGAGCACTTGCTTTACATGTGGTAGTGATGTAGGAGAACAGAACCATGTAAGTGTTTCAGCCTTCCTACTTGCCCTTTCAACATGTGTTAAAATTTTATGTGTTTAGAATCTTAACTATTTCTATAATTAGTAAAATGCCAAGATAGTGATAAAATATGATTTGGCATTGAAGTAGCAGGAAAAGTGTTAGTGTTAGCATCAAAAAATGAGAACAACGTGGAAACGAATTTTGTGTGTGCCCGGTTTAAGAGATGGTGTCAGTAACAAGAACAATCTAAAAGTGACAGTTGCAACATTTACAGTGTAAACATGTTCTGAAAGACAATCTTTAAAGAAATGGGATATGTGTAAACCTAGATCAGCTTCCTATAAATGTTATGGTGACAAAATATTTGTCCTAAATAAGCACCATTTACAGTTTAGAAAACAATCATTTTCTTTCAATTGTTCCTTCTGATTTTTTTCTATTTTTAAGAGCTTCATGGATTTGTATGTATTTTTCTATGTCGGAATATGTCCTCTTCACTCTTATTACCAGTGTTTGTAATTGATGATATGCTGTTCTCCCCTTTGAGGGCATTCAATGAAATCGAATTTGATGTAACATTTGGTTAAAAGGGAATCATTACATGAGCATACAAAGTGGATGCTTATTTCTATACCAAAAACGTGGCACACTATCAAGATACAGAGAAGAGGACGTTTGGCTTGCAGGCAATAATGTTGATTATCATTCTTGAAATAATGACTGGGGAGCAGCAGCGAATTTCTCAGGATAGATGTCTGTCCTGTTTCTCCATGAACAGGTCTCGGGAGGCTTCCTTTCCATTTTCATATTTATGAACATCTCAATAGCAATCTCTAAATGAAGATCAATGGCTTAGTTTTCTTTAAGAAATCATGACTTATGTTTCTGTTTTGCCTGTCTTTAGCTTTTGATGATAAAAGTTAAAAATGTAGTGCAGGTGATACCGAAGTACTACATTACTATTATAGAATGATTCTGTGTTTTTTGGTAAAACATTGAAAAGTACTTAAGCACTAGTGTTCCCTGGAACTGCCAGTTGATAGCTTAAACAAAGTAACTTTTGGTCTAACTTTGGATAATTTAACTTATATGAAAGCAATAGTGTGTAATGTGATGTCATTTTGTTTGTGATGTCAAGTGAAATAAAAACATGTTGAAATTATAAACCTTTCTGTTAATAGTTTGGTGCCTTCCTGTCCTCCCCACTCTTAAATCATTTATATGTAAGAGAGTGTTTTCTTATATAATCCTTTTTTTTTTTTTCGTTTTGTTTTGTTTTGTCTTTTTTTTTAGTTACCGGGAATTGAACTTGGGACCTTGCGCTTACCAGTCAGGTGGTTATGCTACTGAACTATATCCCCAGTCCCTTAATCCTGTTTTAGATAAGTCAGAATGTACAGAAATCATCCCCTTATTTTGGTGAATTTTTAACTCAGATGATAATCATCTAAGATGTATTTGAATAAGAGACTGAAAATGTACTTGCTTTTTAGAGACTCCACCTCCAGCTCATAGGACCCAGTCTCATGCAGTGAGGGTCCTTAGTACTGCGTTGCACTGTTTTTGCTGTGAACTTTACTATGTAGCTTGGGTTTATTTTCATAAGAAAAGCTTCCTTTTTTGATTTTTACAACTGTATAGCGTACCAATGTGTGCGTGTATCTTATTTTGAAATAAAATACTATGTATAGAAAAAGTTGAATAAAACTAAAGCAGGACGTGGTACAATTGGTGCCAGTTGTAGCATTAATCTAATTAAATGCATATCGGAAATACAAAGGATGAAAATTAAAATTTCTATCTCTAGGGGTTTTATGGAGAACAAAATAAATGTACTGATGAGAAAAATTAGTATAGTGCAGGTAAGACCCACATACTACATTTCTATTTTTGTTAAAACATTGAACAATTCTTAAGCACTAGTGTCCCCTTCAGGAAAAACTGTTAAAGAGAAAAGTAAGTATAAAACAACGATTTCATGAAAAAAATCTAATACTTACAAATTTAGGTAAGATGAACAAAAGAGCAAATAAGTGACATCAAGAACGACATCGCTATAAGTCCTACAAATACTGAATTTAAGAAGAATTTTACCAAAATTGCAATTTCAGATAAAATGCAAGCGTTTCTTTAAAATACTATGAATTGGCAATGCAAAGAAAAGGAACAGTCCCCCAGGGAGGGGAACTGTCTCCATGTACATAGCGACCAGGTCCAATCCTAGTAAACAGTTCTTTGAAGAGCTATGCCACAAAGCCAAGTTACCATCACTGGAAAGCAGATGTTAACGAAAGACATCTTTGTACTAGTAATATAGTCCACTCAAGATCCTGCATGCTCAGCCCCAAAGAAAAAACAATAGGTGACACAATGCCTCCCTAAGTTCCCAACTCCAGAAAAGGCCCATGAGTAATGGGAGGGGAGGAAATTTAAAAAAAAAAAAATTAGATTATACATAATGATGAAATTGAACAGATCAATAAGAGCTCAAAGATAATAGAATGAAGCATAAGGAATTTAAAATCAGTGAGCTTAAGATACAAATGGAAAGCTAAGTGGAATGATACAAGATGTGGATGCTAAGTTGACAAAGGAGTCCATGAAAAGGAATCCAATGTTTAGGAGATAGAAATGCTGTCCTGGCAGCAGCAGTGACAGGTGTGAAGACTATTGGAGCTACAAGCTGGAGGTGAAGCAGGTGACAATAGACTTAAAAAACGAGACCATGGAAAATAGATCTAACAGCAGCTACAAAGTGATGCAAAGTAGACTAGCCCAAGGATAATTGAAATTAGTGAGAAGTCAGAAAATGGCATTTAAAAAAAAAGCCAGCTAAGATTATCAGAGCGTAGGACTAGTATTCCAGCAGAGAAATTCCCATGTGAGGCACACATGTGATTTGCTGCTGGTGTTATAGGTGGTAAAAAGAACTTGCCAATGGTCAAGGAATATAGCATAGCTAGGAGTTTACTGATACACTGCCTGAGAGCAGACCAGTCCAAGAGAGGACTGCACTGTCAGGCCCAGGGGAGATCAATTTTTATATTTGATTTTAATCTGAGGAGAAGGATTGGGAAAATTCGTCAGGCCACAGTGGCTCCATCATCCACCTGTCTCAGCTCTGAGGTAGCAAGGCATTTAAAACCGAATGATTTTCTGTTCTACAGGGTCCAGTGCCCTTGGTGTTGCTAGACTCCTGAGGGAATTCTGCTCAAAGGTTGGGGCTTGTCTTCCTCTTGGATTCCCTCAGAATCAGTCCTTAAGCAAAGGGTTTTTTTTTTCAGTTCCCTTGGGAAGTGGCCGCAGATGACACAGGAAAGAGATGTGAGGGAGACATCTGAAGTCAGGCCATGGAGGGTTTTGCTATTGAGCAAAATACTGAGGTAGGATGGAACAAAAGCAGATGGAAAAGATGAGGAAAACCATACTTTAAAACTGTAGTTTTAAGAAAAACTTCAGTCACCAGGCCTGGTGGTGCACACCTGTAATCCCAGCATTTGGGAGGCTGAGGCCGGAGGATTGCTGGAAGTTTGAGAGCCCACCTGTTACATAGTGAGTTAAAGGCCAGCTTGAATTACAAAGCAAGGCTGTATCTCAAAACAAAGGAAGGAAAGAAGGAAAGAAGGAAGAGAAAAGGATAAGAAATGAAAGAATTCACTTTGAGGACATGAAAGTTACGAAAAGCTGTAATACCTTTTTCCTTTCCAGGAAACAGCAAAAAAAATCCTAAACCTCTTGAAGACATAATAAGCTGAAAATTGGGCTCTGGGCCCCCTCTCTTCACCCGGAAATTGTGCTTTCCCATGCTGCTGTCCTCAGGGAAGCAACACATCCTATCCCTTACAGACATGTCAGCGCTCTGCACTCCAACCTCACCCACCCATTGAGCCACCTGACAAACAGTGGAAATACGTGTCCTAGGTCCCCATCTTGACAACAGCTGAAGACCATATGAAAACCCCTATCCCAGATCATAGCAAGGCTCCCTCTCGAGGGCCCACGCTATTCTGAGTGTGCACGTCTTTCTTTTTCCTAATAAACCTTCCTAATGCCTCTCACTAACGTAGCCCATGATTTCTCACTGCCTGTAAGTCAGTACAACCTGGGTGGAGTGAGGTGAGGACTGTAGCCTCTAGGAGACTGTAGGAGACACTTCCAGGTTCTCGTCTCCATCCCAGAAGCCAATATTTGTAATCCCAAAGTTATGTTATTGGAATCCCATCAAATTGATTTCAGTCTACCACTTACAATGCAACCCTTGGTGAAAATAAAGACACTAAATTATATCTTCAATTATCGGGGAGTTAAGGGGCTCTAAGTCTAGCCATGAAGATGGCTTTGTGGAACCAAGAGAGCGACCCAGGGC